TTTAGAGGACTTTTATCATGAAGGGATGTTGAATTTTATCAAATGCCTTTTCAGCGTCAATTGAAATGATAGTATGGTTTTTATCCTTCATTCTGTTGATATGACGTATCACATTTATTGATTTGCATATGTTGAACCATCCTTGCATCTCAGGGGTAAATCCCACTTGGTCATGATGAATAATCTTTCTAAAGTATTGTTGAGTTTGGTTTTCTAGTATTTTATTGAGGATTTTTGCATCAATATTCATCAGCGATATTGTCCTGTAGTTTTCTTTTTTTTTTTCTAGGTTTTTTTTTTTTTTTAATGTGTCTTTGTCTGGTTTTGGTATTAAGGTAATACTGGCCTCGCAGAATGAGCTTGGAAGGATTCCCTCCCTCCTGCATTTTCTGAATAATTTGAGTAGGATTAGTATTAGTTCTTCTTTAAATGTTTGGTAAAGTTCAACAGTGAAGTCGTGGGGTCTCCAGTTTTTCTTTACTGGAAGACGTTTTATTAAGGCTTCAATCACATTACTTGTTATTGGTCTGTTCAGGTTTTGGATTTCTTCCTGCTTCAATCTTGTTAGGTTGTATGAATCTAGTAATTTGTCTCTTTCTTCTAGATTTTCCAGTTTGTTGGCATATAGCTGCTCATAGCAGCCACTAATGATCCTTTGAATTTCTGTGGTATCATTTGTAATGTCTCCTTTTCTTATTTCTGATTATACTTATTTTGATCATCTTTTTTTGTTGTTGTTGTTAGTCTGGCTAAAGGTTTGTCGATTTTCTTTAACTTTTCAAAAAAACAACTTTTTGTTTCATTGTTTTTTCATTTCAATTTCATTTATTTCCACTCTAATCTTTATTATTTCTTCTACTAATTTTGGGTTTCGTTTGCTCTTGCTTTTCTAATTCTTTAAGATGCATCATTAGATTGTTCATTTGAAGTTTTCCCTCTTTTTTGGTGTAGGCACTTATAGCTGTAAACTTGCCAGTTAATACTGCTTTTGCTGAATCCCATAGGTTTTGGTATGTTGTGTTTATGTTATCATTTGTTTCAAAAAAGTTTCCAATTTCTTTCTTAATTTCTTCATTGATACACTGGTCATTTGGGAGCATATTGTTATATTTCCATGTATTTGTATAGTTTTCAAAATCCCCTTGTTATTAATTTCTAGTTTTATTCCATTGTGGTCAGAGAAGATGCTTGATATTATTTCAATTTTTTAATGTTTTCAGATTTGTTTTATGACCTCACCTATGGTCTGTCTTGAGAATGATCCGTGTGCTGGGGAAAACAATGCATATTCTTGTAGCTCTTGGATAAAATGTTGTGTGAATATCTATTAGATCAATTTGGTCTCTATTGCAGATTAAACTGATATTTGTTGATTTTCTGTCTGGAAGATCTGTCCAATGCTGGAAGTGGGGTGTTGAAATCTCCATCTGTTATTGTATTGGAGCTTATCTCTCTCTTTAGCTCTAATAACATTTCCTTTATATATCTGGGTGTTCCAGTGTTGGGTGCATATATATTTAAAATTGTTATATCCTCTTGCTGAATTGATCCCTTTATCATTACGCAGCGACCTTCTTCATCTCTTCTTACAGTTTTTGTCTCAAAATCTATCTTGTCTGATATAAGTATAGCAACTCCTCCTCTTTTTTGGTTTTCATTGACATGGGATATTTTTTACATACCTTTATTTTCAGTCTATGTATGTCTTTACAGGTGAAGTGTGTGTGTTAGAATGTGTGTGTGTGTGCGTGTGTGTGTGTGTGTTTAGCAGGCAACAGATCAATGGGTCTTGTTTTCTCATCCATTCAGCCAGTCTCTATATCTTTTAACTGGAGAGTTTGGTCTATTCACATTCGATGTTATTATTAAGTAAGGACTTACTTCTGCCATGGAAATTCCTTCTGCACACATGCTTCTATAACCAGAATAGGGAGCAGTAGCAGTCTCCAGACAGAAATAATTACTCTGACCTTAAAGGAATCATAGCATTTCTGGCTGCAACCTGTTATAACAAGCCACCTCAAATGTAAATGTCAAAGGGGTGGAATAGTGTAATCTATAAGATGCCTGGAAGAAGAGGAAATGAAATATTCTGAATAGTGTTACTGTTTCTTCGTCTTATTGTTCACTTTAATGAGAATGCCTCTAGGTTTTAGTACCAGGCATAATATTTGTTTTTGTAGTTGTTGATTTGTGTAAAAAGTCTTTTTTATCATACTAAGTGAGTTATCTTTTCTTGCCATGGGTTTTTATTAGGAAGGAATGGCAAATTTTATATTTTAATATTTATAGAAATAGGTGCTTACATTTTTTTCTTTTAATCTGTTATACAGTTAATTATATTAATGGACTTCCTATTTCAAACTATTCTTGCATCACAGAGGGAAAACCCTACTAAACTACAGTTTATTATCATATTCTGTTATAAATGTTCTGGATTTGATATATTTCAAGTTTTGGGGGGATTTTTTTCATCATCATGTCTGAGATTGGGCTACATGCTTTGATATTTTTGTGCCATCTTTGTTGATGATCTATTATAGCAGTCAAATAAATCTACTGGATCTGGTACCTCTAAAAAGTAAATTTTAAATTTTTTAAAATTCTTGTATGGTTATTGATTTATTCAGATTGTTGTCCTTTTCTTAAGTTAATTTTGGTTAGCATAAACAATTTATTCCATCTAGATTTTTCTTGAATACCAAAACTGTACATGGTCATTTTACTTACATTTTTAATCTTTATCTATGTTTATATATCTTTTATCACTCACAATATTTGCTTTTCTGTTCTAGGTGAATGTGTATTAATTCTTCAAGACTGGTTTTGGGTCAATTTGCCAAAAATCAAACTGCAGAAAGCCAATTTTCCACAAGGACACTTTGCCAAATTTTCTTCTTCCTTAGAACTCTTTATAAAGTTTACAGCAATCCACATTGAATGAGATCTTTTTAATAGCTTTTAAAGATTTATGTAAACTTTTAGTTGATCAGTTTTAATTTTGTTTTCATAGCAGCATTTTAAGGAATGTTTAATTTATCTTTACCCAGCTTCCTGCTGCTGCAGCTGGAAAGAGCTGGGGCCAGAGATAGGAGACCTCTGCTAGGGGCAAGATGGGAAGGAGGCTCAGCTCATTTGCTGATTCCAATGAAAGAGAGGATGTGGGTCATAAAGAGAAAGATATATTCAGGGAATATATACTCATACAGAATATATCCCCAAATATAACCACTTTGCATAAATACATTCTTCATAGAAATAAGAAGTAGCCCCAGCTTCCTCCTTTCTCTGTTTCCCAGGCATTCCGCCCCTAGTCTCTTCCTAGTCTCTTTTCTCCCTGCAAGGGCTGTGCTGTGTGCTGGTTCTGCTCCCCACCTCTCCCCCATGTACTCACTCACTTCCTGCTCCTTCCAGCATAAGCAGCAAGGAGCTGGGGCACAGACAAACCCCACATTCCGTGAAACACTATTATGGAGACCCAATGACAATCGGGCCATCTAAACTAAATAGAGAAAATAACAAGTACATTAAGACAAGTGGTGAATCGGTGATTTGGACTCTTTTACTCTAGGACTTGAATCACATGACTGTCTCCTTGACTGATTTGGTAGCTTCATTCTCTGGGGTCCCAGAGTGCCTTGTTGAGACCTCCAATACCTCACTTAGAAGTGATTTAAATATATAAACATTCTATCTCAGTTATTTGATTTCATTACCAGCTCCATTTCTAGACTGTTTATTCATTCAGTAACTACTTAATGAACAAAAATTTCATTAAACAAATGTCCATTTAATGAAGAAATGTGAGCTGACTGCAAGCTGGCAGTATGAGCTGAATATGTGCTGCAAAGTGGGATAGATGCTGAAGATTAAAGTTAAATAAAACCTGGTCCCAGTCCAGAGCTCACAGGCTAGAGGTAGCAGGAACCTAGTCTTAGATATCTTCATATCCACTGTGCCCCTCACATCATGGCTGTCATAGAGTCTATGCTCAATAGAAGTTCTAGGTGTATTGAAGGCATGTTTCCACTAAAAGAACTAGAACTACAAGTCCCAAGTACAGTAATTGGTGGCTGTAACTAACATTTTAAAAAGCAGAAAGTAGTCAAGTCCGAGAGAGTTTATGAGCTCTAAAGGCTACATTTTCTCATTTATCAAAATATTTTACAAAAACAGGACAAATTTAAAATTGTTTAGTGAGATACATGGTAGTCAGAATCTTACGACAATGAACAAAGCTGGAATTGTCCTTATATTTAAAGTTTGGATCCTGAAACAAGCTACCTGCCTTTCCATTTAAACTTCAGCAATAATAATTCAATAGCTATGCTCAAGGTCAGTTAGGACATATTAAATGACCTGTTGGGTGTAAACTTATCAAAAAATGTTTATTAATTCAGCCTTAATCTAGTTCAAAGCATAACATATCAGTCCCAGGGTGATCCAAATTAAATAGTGTTGATTCACTCCACATTCCAGGTCTTATAGCTTCCACATGGCTGATCAAAAACACCCAGAAACACATGATAATTTAGGAAATTCAATAACATATACAGCAGAACCATAATTAAATTTCATTCAAATAAATCCTACCCTCAGGATTTTTGAAGACTTGTAAATTCATCTAGATATTTAAAAACAGAAACTATGTTCTCAGATGTTCCCCCAAACAATTCTTTTTAAAATAACCGTCTTTCAAAACCTGGTATGGGGTTGAGCACAGTGTCTCACACCTGTAATCCCAACACTTTGAGAGGCTGACGCAGGAGGATCACTTGAGGCCAGGAGGTCAAGACTAACCTGGGCAACACAGGGAGATCCCATCTCCACAAAAATAATTTTAAAAATTAGCTTGGCATGGTGGCACGTGCTAGTAGTTTCAGCTACTCCAGAGGCTGAAGTAGGAGAATCACTTGAGCCCGAGAATTCAAGGTTACAGTGAACTATGATCCTGCCACTGCATTTGAGCCTGGGTGACAGAGCAAGACCATGTTTCTTACCTGGTACTGATTATATCACTATAGGTGTATGATAACAATTCAAAACAAATAAGTAGTCTTCCTTCTGTCTGACATTCTGTAACAAATAAATTAAAAATAAGAAAATAGGTACTAATTAGGATTGTGTTTTAGTGAATCCTCAGGTAGTATATTTCTTAGGCTGAATAATGGCTCCTCCCAAAAGATATCCATGCCTTAATCCCTGGAACCTATGAATGTTACCTTATACCACAAAAAGTACTTTTAAGATATAATTGAATTACAAATTTTGAGATGAGGAAATTACCCTGGATTATCCGAGGGGATAATTTTTATTGTAGTTATATTTTATAGTTGTATTATAGTTATACTGTCTAAATATAACTATTTGCTTTAGAGGCAAAATAGATTAGGGTAAATTCTGCAGTCAAGTTGATGTGGAAGACAAGATTACCTGGATAATAAGAGTCAACATTATCTGCTCCACATTTCCTGAATGAAACCAGAATTCTCTGACTCCCTACTTTGGCTCAAGGGCCAGACTGTGCCTCCAGGCCATCACAACCAGTAACCATGCACAATTGGCTCACTGATTCCCGTAAAGCAACTCATATGCTCTGAGTTATGACTAGATCTATTTCAGGACTTGTCACACTGTCAGGCTAGATTTCCACAATACAATCCCTGAGCAGAGCTTCTAAAGATGGAGATTCCAAAGACCTCTTTTATCCTATTAAATGTACAAAATTTTTGGAGCAAGCCCTCTACTCTCCACCACTTAGGGAAGTTCCGAGAGGTGCAGCTTTACTTCCTGAGTTGCTTTGGATGATCAGACCATCCATCAAATTCCCAGCTGTTCTCACCATCATCCACTCCAAAACTACATAATTTAGACTATTAATTAAATCTCAGGTAAAAGCTTTAACTTTATACCTTTATAATTAGGAGACATTTTTATATACACATGCATCTTCCAAAACACTTTTAATTAAAACATTCTGGGGGAAATATCCTTACTTTCCATTTTGGAGATGGTGAAAAGTATTAAGAAAAGTTTGATTTTGCTCAGAGCATTCCTGTTTTAAATCAAACTAATTTTTCCATTGAATATTCTAAGAGTGATTTGCCCACCCTTAATGTACCTCAGCCAGAAATATGTTCCCTTTGAAATTAATCCCAGCTTGTGAACATTGAAAGGTGAAGACCATAAGGAATGTAATTTCATATTAGTGGTTTCTGTGACTAGATAAACATTAATAATGTTTACATACTGGCCTAGAAAGTGATTTAATTTATTAAGTGCAGTGGACATATGGTACCCTGTTTGCATTAGCTATGCCCAGTACATGAAAAGAAATCACTAAGTGGAATTCAGTTACCTACTTTTTTTCCCTAACTCACTATATTTTATGTATGAATTTGCCACTGGTAATGAAGAGCTCCAGCTAATATGAACAATGGCAAGAGGAGTTATACCATTAAATGTATAGGTTCATAAATGTAGCATATAAAAATGGATGATTTGCAATTCAGTTCTACAAATATTGTGATAATACTATGTGACAGGACTTATAGTCTGAACTGGGGATAGAGAAGTGCATGAGCCAGATGCAGCCCCTGCCCCATAGACCTTAGGGTACCACTCTTTGCCAGAGCCATGGTGGAGGTAATGGGGCATCTAAAATGGATTGCCTTCCTCAATATCCATTCCAGCCTCCTTCCAGTACTCCTGAGTTTGGAAAGCTAGAAATTACATTTCCCAGACTCCCTTATAGTCAGAGTTTAGGATGTGGTTGGGATTCCACCGTTCAGATGCACTCAAAAGACTTGGATTGTAACTAAATTAAGTGGAGACATGGCTTGCCACATAATTTGGAAGAGCCAATATAAAATTAAAGAGTGAAGACCCTTGTACAAAAGGCAGGAAAAAAACTTTTTCCTCCTGTCTTCTTCCCCTGGTCTTTCTCACCATCTATCAGGGTGTTTTGTTTGTCTGTTTTTTGCTATTGAATGTTGTAGTCCCAGAAATGTGAGGATACTCAGATATGAGGGCAGATCCTCACCAGTACTTATAATCTGGCATATGTGCAGCCCACTGGCTATAAGGTTTCCCTCCTACCTGCTGCAAGACAAAAGGCTCCACAAGTTCAATCAGGCATCTTTTTCCTTCCACTGGCCACAGCAACTCAAGGTTGTTGGGTGACCCCTGAGAGTACTGTCACCTTCATGTATAGATAAATGAGACAGTTGGATGGAGACAAGAGGTGTACCCTCACCAAGTCACCCACTGAATGTTCCATGATGCTACCAGCCTGAGGCAAGGACTGCCACTGCCTTGCCCTCTCCTATCCTGTCCTGCATAGAGATGCTCTGGGAGCATGTGCCTGACTCTAACTAACCCCAATCTTCTTCCTATCCATGCCTAGGGCTCCATCAGGGGTGGAGGGAGGCAGTGATTGGTGGACCATGCCCAGGAAGGGGACGTGTGGGTTAGAGGAGCTGTTGGCTGAGAAGCTGTCACAGGAAGGTGGCAAGAAGAAGACCTAAGGTCCCCCAGGACATACTCTATTGTCCCCAAGGACATCACTTTTAAAACACAAATTAAAAGACAAATTTTTAAGAATTTCATCATGGTAGCCACAGAGCACTAAACTCCATGGATGGGGGGCCCAGAAAGAATGCATAGATCACCTGCTCATGAAGCTGGTGCTTCGTGGAAAGAAAGCATTCCATTTTGTGCCTGCTGATTGTGGCATCAAGGATCTCTTGTTATCAGTTTCCTGCCAAAATGTCAGGAGGAGATTGTGAGATTCTTGGCCACGCAAAAGTTGGGTGATTTTGGAAATGGGGAGTTTTTCCTAGAAACATAGCCTAGAGCCTGCTCTTTTAGCCACTTTAATGATTTTGTAAGCCATCTAATAGCTGGTAATAATTTCCTTAATACTTAGCCCAACCAGAAAGTCTTAATTGCAAATAACAGAAACCACAGCTGATAATTCTCTCTGGAGAAGCATGAAATAGACATCAGAAGTAAATTGACTGTGGTGGTGGCCACCATTCCAAACAGAAAATAAAAAGCATTTGATATTGCCAAAGGTCATTCAGTGCTAGAAGAAAAATCATTTATATTAAAGGAGAGGCATCATGGAAATGGAATAGCAGTGTAATTCCTAGCTGCCCTTTATATTCCAAGAGTTGGAGAGAATTCTTGAAGCAGACCAGTGATTAGCAAGTGGGCACAGAAACAAATTGTATCCTTGCTCAGAAAAAAGTAGGAATCATCTTTGTGATATAGTAGGAAAAACATGAGCTTTAGATTTATGTAAATCGAGGTTTGAATCCAGGCCATCTACTTTCTCTGTTACCTTCGGTAAGTAACTTCTCTAAGTCTCAATTTCCTCAAATTGTTCTTCTAGGGTAGTTAGAGATAATACAGAAAAACAACCCGGAATAATGTCAGATACACAGTAAATATCAATAACTACTGAAATCATAATAAAATCTGAAATTGGTACATAGGACAATGTGGATGGCTTTCCCAGGTCACTATTGCATCCGGGTATATTGTCCAAGCAGAACTTCTGTAAAGCAATACCATACGAAATCTCCATGGGATTTATTGGCATCAATCTCCCAGTCTTCCACCTACCCATCTACCCCCAGTCAACTCACCCATACCCCTATCCCAAATAACCATCTACCCTCTCTCCCTTCTAAAATTGGCACGTAGAATTCAATATTAAGAATTCTCAAGATTAAGTAGTAGCTCTATCTATCAAATCAAACCACAAATTAGAGAAATGATTTACTCCAAAATGAAATTCATTTAAAACTCATATAAAACTTTCTCCTCCCAAAGTTGGATCTGCTTTATAACAATTGCAGGGATGCTAAGGATCTTTGTATGTTTGGGAATCTCTTCATGTCAGCTCCATCCACCATACTGAATATTAATCAGAAATCTTTCTCTACCTTTGCATGTGCTATTTCTGCAGCTTGAGTTTTCTTTCCCTGGTTGGTGTGATACATTCAAGACTCACTTCACATTTCTACTCCTCTTTCTATCCCAGGGCCCCGAGACAGCTGATTTCACTCTTCATTACCAGCACAGAACCTTGCGCACACCTCTACACAACTCTTCCTATAGTGAATTTCAAGTATTTGTTTATATTTTGTCTATCCATATCTATATTTTGATATCCTTGTTGGCAGAGACCATACCTTGTTTATGTTTTTTATCTAATGCCAGCTCAGTCTTATGCATAGGGGGGCCTAATTCATACTGAGATGATCTACAACCTTAAAAGTAAGCCCAAGCCCTTTACTCCCAACTTCACCCTGTTGGCTCAGTCCAGTGTTCTACTCTTCCATTATGATCAGCAGCCCCAGGCATCCTTTCTACTCTTACCAGCTCCACTGGATACCCAGGTCTCACCTGGTCTCAACCACCACTTATGCCTCTGCTCTGTCCTTTACCCTCACAGAAACATATCCCGGCATTTATAAATATGGGCAGAGGAAGATGAGGAAAGGGAAAAAAAGGAGAGTTTAAAGAAAAATGAATGGCATGGTCAACAATGAGAAATGTAGTACGAGATAAAGAGAATGGTTAAAATGTGTAATGTATTGAGACCTACTGTGCTCCAAGCTCAAAGGAGATGTAAAGGGGAGAGAAATCAACAAGGTAGAAGAGCCTCTTTCCCCCTACCTTGCATCCTACTATGGGGCCTTGCATTCTACCATGCTGTACGTGCTGCAGACAATCAGTAAGTAAATAACCAATGTAATTACAGTTCATGAAGAGTGCCACAAAGGAAGGAGGCAGGGAGATAAGATGATGATGATGATGACAATAATAGTAAGAAGTTACCTATAGTTAGCCCAAAATAGCTACCATATGTCAAGCCTTGTTCTAAATGCTACCAGTATCTAATCTTGCTTAATCCTTACAAGCACCCTAGAAAACAGGGATAATTATTTTCTTCTTTGTAGATGAGAAACTGAAGCACAGAGAAGTTAAGTAACATCTTTCAATGGCTAGCTTTGCTTAATGAGCAACTCACCTATAATTGTTAAGAATGAGAAAATCAAATCTGATGTGTCATGGAATAAAAGTTTATTAATTAACTTGTAACAATTTCAAAAATCCTTTTTAGCAATTTTGAATCTTAAAGTTATATTAAATTAAGTAATAGATATTTATTAAATGTCTGGGCCATTTCTAAGTCAGTTAAAACACTGAAACACTAATTACTAAGCATAAATTTAAGTTTATACGTTTTGATATATTTTTATGTGGTATGGATAAGCTAAATATATTTGGGTTTGTAAATAAACATAAAAATTTTGTTGTGAGGAAACATGTTTCTGTAAATTATGAAATAGTTACCATTGACAAAATGCTGATATAAAACAATTCAAAATTGCTTATGTCCTAGGTTTTCATGATAAATTAAGGTTACTAGAGTTTTAAAAATCTAATTAACATATGGTAATTAAAACAACTCCTTTACGCAAGGAAAGTAAGACACGTTTTTGGTAAGTGAAGCTTACATGAAAGATGTGTTTTAGTTAAGGGAAACAAAAGGAATTTTCGTCTTAAAATAGGATGATTAGTTGTCCCAAAATAAGAAAGAGAAAAGGTTGTGGAAAGTTTATGAAAGATGAATCTTGTGAAAAGAATTTTATGTGCAATTAAGCTGGCTAAAATTGGAAGGGAATTATAAATTTTTTCTAAAAACAGCATTACTATCAAAGTTGTACTAATACAAAATGAGAATTTGGTTTTCTCCTTTAAACAAGATTTTTCTGGGGCGTTGGTTCTCAGCACCTCCTGAGACTGTATCAAGGGAAAAATTATTTTAAAGATTTTTCTGTAATAAGAGATAGTAAAAGATTTTTTGTTCACCTTTTGAGTAAACTGCAAAAGGTGAGAGTGGGAGGGGAGAGAAAGAGAAACAGATTTTACGTGCTTCATGATGTCTTTTTTTAGGTCTTTTAATTATTTGGAAAATTAGGTCTTCCCTCTAACAAAGAGTAAAGGTTTTTGCTTTTTAAAACTTTTAATTATCAATTTGGCTAAATGATTGATTATTATTTCAGAGTGATCTGTGATCCTATTTTGATCAAGTGTTTTAAACCTTTGACATATTTGACAGGCTTCCCAACATAAAATTTCAAAAGAAAAAATAAGCCTTTTTGACTCCAAACTAACCTTCGGATGCTACAGAGAGCCCTTGAAGCATTCAAAACAGATATAATAAATAGGCTTATTTGGTATGTTTAATTATATGGGAAGCATTGTCAAATAAGAAATGATGTTTAGCCTTTTCCTGAGTTACATCATTTTCCAAAAATAGTATGAGATTTCTAAAATTCTGACATGTCATGGTATATGTTATCAGTCATGATATTATGATTATTATGTTAAATTATTGTAGACCACAGACAGAATTAAACTTTCTTGTCAATTATGTCTTTAGTTATAACCATTTTAAGTCTTGTTGTCCTAGTTAATTGATTAATTCTGATGCCTTTTCTGAAAGCTCTTTACAAGCAATTATAATCCTAAAGTGTTATATCTTCAAGGGGGTTCATGGAAAGGATGGAAAGGACCCTGACAAGCACTCCTGAATACAGATTTCTGATTACTTTAGGATCATATCATTTGGATTAGGTAAGAATTCTCAGAACTCTAATGAAGAAACTGGTTTATAAAATTGTTTACCCAAGCAGACTAGAATTAATTAAATACCAAGGAAATATGGTTGCAGATTTTCATACTAAGTTTATAAGTACTGAAATTGTTGAGATATACAATTCCAATAAATTCCATGGTCCAAGTCAAATTACCTATGATAACATATTTAACAAAGAGTGCTACACACCTGAATTAGAAAAACAAAACTGGAATGTAAGAGGATATAAACCCAAGGTTAAGCATGGACTCATGGAGCCTTGACTGCTTCCTGAGTCCCTAAAGCTTCATTATAAGCTTTGCACTCCATGACTCATCATGGAAGAGATACAATGATCCAAATTATGGGAAAAAATTTTGGTGTGGTGACTGTTCTAAATTTCCGTAATGGTTGATGACCAATTTTTGATTTGTCAAAACCATAATCCTGATAAGACAACCAAAACTTCAGGTACATTTCTTCAATCTGATGGGTCACTTATAAAGGGATTTCATTCAATTGCCATTTTCTCTGCATGTTTTCTGGTTGTACAGATGCTTTCCCATATAGGAAGGCTACAAAAGTAGCTAAAAAGTTATTAGAAAATGTGTTTCCCTCATGGTGTATTCCTGGAGAAAATTCCAGCAATAGATCTACTTGTTTCACTGGACAAGTGGTAAAACAGTTAAATAAGGTATTATGGATACAGTCACATTAAGCAAAGCAAACTGAATCAACTGGATTGCCTCAGTCAAAGATATTATAGATTGATTACAATCAAATCCACTTCCAATGGGAACATAAGTTGATCCCCTAGGGAAGAGTTACTGGAAGGCCTATTTCCCTAATAATAGAAACTCATTTATGTTCTGCTTCTAACCTCTGATATGACTAAATGCTGCAAAGCTTTAATGCCTTATGCCAAAGTGTATTTTCACCAGGTAAAGGAAACTTTTCATGATTCACCAACTTAAGACAATCAAACCCTTCATGATCTACAACCTGGAGACCGGGTTTTCTGGGAACAATAATAGAGGAAGACTGCCCTTGCCACCAACACTGCAGCAAAACGTTGGGACATTGAACCTTGGGCCTGTAATCACACAACTCAGAGTGGCCCCTTCAGACTCTTGGAACTGTACACCTGTAGGAGACCTTAAGGTGCAGCTAATCAGGGAAGTCTCTCCCCAGAAGCAGACAGCATCCTAGACATGGACAACTTTCCCAAGATCATGGATCAAGAATTCTCTGTCATCAGAAAAATTTTACCTCTCTTAGTTTTTTTCTTTTCCTTGCTTATGCCTCTATGAACAATATAATTGGGAAAGGGGTCTTGTGTGCACCAATGGAGTATGCTTTTATTTGTGGAGGATTTTGCAGCCAACCTTATACCTGAGCAACTTATGCCTTGATGGATGGAAGATGAAGGGCCAATATGGGCTAGAAATTTTAAGAGTACCTTTGCTGCTCCATGATCAGTCAGAAACAGAACATTTGTTCACTCCTCTTAACCTACATCTTAGGTTAAAAGAACATTGCCAGGAAGTCTTCACTCTTCTGGATGGGCATCATTTCTTAGGTCTCTTTTCCCATGGCCTGCATTAAATATAAATGAGGCAATGCTTACAAATGTATCACTCATAATAGGCTCTACAGCAGGTTCAACTGCAAAGGCTGTGGTTGCACAACAGACGTCTTTAAATTCTCTTGCTAACGTTTTATTAGGTAATAAAATTGCTCTAGATTAACTATGAAAAGAGAGGAATCTGTGCAGTTTTTGACACTTCTTATTACACATAGATGAATACATCAGGTATTATAGGGACTCAGTCACAGGGGATTAACCAACAAGCTGCTTAGTTAAAATAAGTAGATTCCTCATTTGGTTCGTTCTTTGATGTATTTGATTTTGATTGGTTTTGTTCAGGGGAAACTTGGCTAAGAAGCATATTCCAAACTCTTGATATCCTTTTGATAGCCATAATAGTAGTCTCCCTGATGTGCTGTATTCTCTTAAAATTTTTAAAGGTGTACATGCAGCCATCTGTAGAATGCCAAGTGGTCCCTCTTCAACTAGAACAACAAAGACCCAAAGACATGTGATCATGAGGACATTACTGTAACTTACGACTGACTTGTTGAGACTAGAAGCCCAAAATGATGGTAACTAAGAATAGCAATAAAGCTCTAAGTTTTGGTCATGCTCTCATCTAAGATTTGTTAAACAAAATTATGGGAGGCCACTGGTTTGAACTGAACTCCTGCACTAGGCCTTAACAGACTACACTAACCCAACTTGGAGTCACTTATGCTATGTTCCACCAAAGCCTTAAAGAAGCAAACAGATCTCAAAACAGATGGGAACTGAGACCCAATAAGACTTGTGAATTCTATACTGAGACCAAATAAGTCTGTCCATTTACAATAATGACAGAAAGTGACATTATGCTTAAAGTTTATGGTATAATTGAGAGGTTGAAGGGGTCATTGTTAAATTCAGTTTGGCCTAAAGCTGCCTCCCTACATATTTTAACTTTTGCCTAAAGGTTTCTCCCTGCATAGTGAGCTATAACCTAACTTGATATGTAAACAGACTGTAACCTACTCTTGTAACAAGTAGCTAATCACAGGCAGCAAACTGTTCAAACCAGGTTCAAATAAGACAAACACCCAGCTGTAACCAATCCAACTGTTTCAGTACCTCACTTCCACTTTTTGAATGTCACATTCCTTTTTCTGTCCATAAATATGATCTGATCATGCTACAGCACCAGAATTGCTCCGAACCTATTTTGGTTCTGAGGGCTGTCTGATGTGCAAACCATTCTTTGCTCAATTAAACTCCATTAAATTTAATTTGTCTAAAGTTTTTCTTATAACAACTGAATGGGATCATGAATTCTGACATATATGAAATTCCACTGGTGCAAAACATTAGTAAACATGTTTAATGAAACTCTTATGAAGAAATAACATGTTCATTCCAAAACACTGGCCCACACCCTGAATACTGTAAAATTCCATCTCCTTTGAGAGACTCTAAATGGTTGTGTTTCTCTTCATTAATAATAAAGATAAGAAGGACAATCTATATCACATTGGATGGGTTACTTGCATCACTCAAAATGAGTTTAACAATTTACTCAGTTTTGAAAAGTAAATTCAGTCTTCTATCAAAGGTTAAAATTTGTTGACCTATGGGTATTTATAAAAGAAAACTTTCTTAAAAGAAAACTTTCTTAAAAGAAACGTAAGCTCTACTGGGCAGAAAAGACTATGTACTCTGAATTAAAGAAAGATTGTATTATGGTTAGAAAAAAATTTAGAACTAAGTACGTTATACTAAAATACCTAAAGATTATATATGGCAGGCCAGGCATGGCGGCTCATGCCTGTAATCCCAGAACCTTGGGAGGCTAAGGTAGGAGGATTGGTTGAGGCCAGGAGTTTGAGACCAGCCTGGAAAACACAGAGAGACATCTCTACAAAAATTAAAAAACAAAAAATTTACCTGGGCATGATGGCATTTGATCATAGTCCTAGCTACTTGAGAGGCTGAGAGGGCAGAATGGCTTGAGCCCAGAAGTCCAACGCTGCAGTAAGCTATGATCACGTTATTGCACTCCAGCCTAGGTGACAGTGAGAGACTCTGTCTCTAAAAAATTAAAATAAAAATTATATAAGAGAGAAATTACAGTATTCTTCTGATTATCTAAGAACTTGCTATTTTAATCTAGATATTCTAGATTTAATCTATTTTATCAATCAAACTATTCTTCAGATCACAAATCACTATGTTTTTACCACATTACTAATCTGAAATATGAACAAACAAGACTGGTTGAGAATTGGGTAGAACAATTATAAAGAAACCACATGAAAAGGTGAGAAAAGAAAGCAGCAGGAAGCTCCAATAAAACAGGACACATTTTTCTAACAATGTTATTATATATTTAATCCATGTTTCTCATGATGAGACGCTTAAAGGCCTAAAAGTTACTTGGGAGTTTTGTATTACAAAATATCACAATTGATCCCGTTGCTAGATTTCTGCATTACAATTAAATCTAAGAGAAGAAAGTTGATTTCTATTAAGTGTTAGGTTTTGTAATGTATTATTGTAAAAGAGGAAAAAATAGGAGTTAATTTAGAAAAATTCTGGGTATATATTACTAGAGTTTTCACTCAATTTGAAATCACAATGGAAACTAAGGTAGAAGACAACACCACATGACTGCCTTAAAAACAAAAAAGACGGCCGGGCGCGGTGGCTCACGCCTGTAATCCCAGCACTTTGGGAGGCCGAGGCGGGCGGATCACAAGGTCAGGAGATCAAGACCATCCTGGCGAACATGGTGAAACTCCGTCTCTACTAAAAATACAAAAAAATTAGCCAGGCATGGTGGCGGGTCCCTGTAGTCCCAGCTACTCAGGAGGCTGAGGCAGGAGAATGGCGTGAGCCCATGGGCGGAGCTTGCAGTGAGCTGAGATCTGGCCACTGCACTCCAGCCTGGGCAACAGAGCAAGACTCCGTCTCAAAAAACAACAACAACAACAACAAAAAGGAATGACTTGGGTATATTTCTATTGGGCTTAATTAAATTGACTGAGGTTTGCCTTCAGAAGCTTTTGTTTAACAGTGGTTTTTCAAATAAAATAACAACAAAAAATATATTCTTATTTCCATGTTTTGACAAATGTATCAGTTAGGATTTCGTTCAGCTGCAAGCAACAGAAAAACCAACCAAGAGTAGACTGTATGATTAAGGGACTACCATTTTTATGTTAAAAAATTTCTGATATGAGGCTGTTGAGGACTGGTACATGACTCCACGATATCATCAAGAACCCAGAATCCTTTTAGTTTTCTCTTCCACCATTCTTGACTTGTGGCTTTTTTCTGCATGGTCACAAAATATCTGCTCTACCACCTCAAGGCTCATCTATATATAAGGCAGGGGCTTCTTAGTTTATCTCTTTAAAAACGGTGTTTCAAAGTTTCATATCATAACAACTGCTTTCATCTTACTGGTTGAGAATTGGGTCACATGGTTACTTCTAATGGAAAGATGGCTGGAAACCTGAATGTTTTAGTTTTCAAGTCATGATGAAGGAAAAGACAAGAATGAAAGATTGAGAATGGCTTTTGAGTAGCTAGGCCACTGTGTCTGCTTCTATGGGCAAGGAGATAAGGATATTTATAGAAAATATTAATATGTGATTGAAATCATTTCTAAATAACAAGAAGAGAACTTGTTTAGCAAATACTGGCATTTATGTGTTATTGGCTGGCCTTATTAAGGCAGATCTTTATCATTTAGTAAGTCCACGTAAAAGTAATTTTCTTACCACTCAGATGGTTTCTCTAAATTGCTGTGCTCCTGCTATGATTTGATCTTTGGCTGAGATGCTTTTTCAAATGCTTTTAGCTAAGCCCTGCATACATCTAGATACTCAACCTTCAGGACAGTACAGATTTCAGCCCAATTACTCCCTTTCCAAGCTACAGCAGGAAAACCAAAACAAATATTGCGGATTTGTCCAGTTCTCTTAAGTATCAGCTAGGGAAGCAGGATAAGTCCTCTATATTATGTGGTGATTCTCCATATTAGAATCACCTAGGAAGCTTATAAGATATGCTGATACCCTAATCTTTTTAAGGAGCTCTCTCTAGATGATTCTAACATGCAGCTAATGTGGAAAACTAGGCATTTGGAGAAAGAAAAGAAAAAGCTAGAAATAGCATGTAAAACCTTCAGCATGTTATTGAACCTCTTTAAACTCACTTCTCTCATTGTTACTTACATGAATTAATCCACATAAGTTTAGTTTGGTGTTTGGCTCACAGTAAACACTTAATAAATATTAGTTATTATTAATATTGTTTTATCAAAGTTCATATTTTTTCATCATTTTATTTGTGAATAAATGGTTTCTCCAGGAAGCAAAAAATATATAAAAGCATAGATCTTGAAGGTAGGGCTTGAAGACAGCAAAATTTGGCATTTGAATCTCAGCTTGACCACTTATTAGTTGACCACTTACTAGCTTGACATTGAGCAGGCAAGCATTTGATCTGAGTCTCGGTTTTCTCATCTATTAAATGGGAGTGATACCTCTCAGGTTGTGAAGACTAAAAGATACTATGTATGCTAAAGGATAATTTTCAAAAAAGTAAAATTATGACCCTTCTACAGTTATAAAAGAAACATATGTCAAAGATTTTATTCAACTTTTTAATTACTGAGGGAACCGCTAATATAGTAAGATTTGTTCAAATGAGAATTTGACTTATAGAGCTTTCTAATCAACCAGTCAAAATTTGTTTGCTTTGATATGAATAAGAATTTCCTGCATTGTCAGCAGTTTTCAACAATTTAACAGCTACCTCTGCAGAGCTGCAAAATAACCTAGTCAACAGAAAGTCAAGGTGTGAATTTTTGGAATCAGATAATCCAGGACTCCACTGTAATGCCCAGCACTCCACTGAAAGACACCAGTGATCCCCTTTGCCCATTTCTGAGTCCTGACAAGTATATAAAGCACAAGGCAGACTGTACTTGCCATGGAAACAGTGATGATTACATGGTGGCTGCATTCATTATTCTTGAATAACATGATTATTTACGTAGAAAATCCAAACAAATCAACTAAATAAATGTATTATGACAGGACAATTACAATCATTAAAATTTATCATTACTGTGACTCTTGAGTTCATGCTTTACATTCTTCCCTTCACTGTAAACATACCAGTAACAACGTTTTTAAAAAATATATAAAGAAAAGTCATAGCCACATTCAAAAGCAGGATATAGATCACCTGCAGCACGATGCCGGAACTAAAGACTCAGGCAGCATAGGCAGCCAAGAGTTGGACTCACGTGGGGTGACAGAGCAAAGCATTCTTCCTAAAGCTGGAAGCAAGGACAGTGTTCCCCTTGCCAGCTCAGTAACTGGATCTCTAATATCTCAAAAGACACCAAGCCACAGGAGTTCAAGCCACCAACTAAGACCATGCCCTGGTCTAGAGATGGTGGGGGGAGAGTTGGTGAAAGCAACCAAAAAATTTGTATCAAGGAGTCTTGAAGAGGATGGAGATGAAAACTCCCACACAAGCTCAACCTGCAAATTAAAGTTTCAAAGAAAAGGAGAAAAATTAACCCTAAGAAAGAGCAAATAAACTTGTCCAGGGCATTTTTTTTTTATTTTTTTATTTTTTTTAATTTTTATTTATTTATTTTTTTAATTTATTTATTATTATTAAACTTCAAGTTGTAGGGTACATGTGCACAACGTGCAGGTTTGCTACATATGTATACTTGTGCCATGTTGGTGTGCTGCACCCATCAACTCGTCATTTACATCAGGTATAACTCCCAATGCAATCCCTCCCCCCTCCCCCCTCCCCATGATAGGCCCCGGTGTGTGATGTTCCCCTTCCCGAGTCCAAGTGATCTCATTGTTCAGTTCCCACCTACGAGTGAGAACATCACGGTGTTTAGTTTCTGTTCTTGTGATAGTTTGCTAAGAATGATGGTTTCCAGCTGCATCCATATCTCTACAAAGGACACAAACTCATCCTTTTTATGGCACATAGTATTCCTGGTGTATATGTGCCACATTTTCTTAATCCATCTGTCACTGATGGACATTTGGGTTGATTCAAGTCTTTGCTATTGTGAATAGTGCTGCAAAGCCAAGCATGCCCGATGTGCATGTCCTTATAGCAGCATAATTTAATCCTTTGGGTATAATACCCAGTAATGGAATGGCTGCAGGTCATATGGTACATCTAGTTCTAGATCCTTCGAGGAATCGCCATACTCTTTTCCATAATGGTTGAACTAGTTTACAATCCCACCAACAGTGTAAAGTGTTTCTATTTCTCCACATCCTCTCCAGCACCTGTTGTTTCCTGACTTTTTAATGATCGCCATTCTAACTGGTGTGAGATGGTATCTCCTTGTCCAGGGACATTAATAGTTAACAGAATATGATACAAATTGTGGAAGAATAATGACATGACTTGTTAAAGAGGAAACGTTTCAGGGGAAGGTAAATGTCTTGAAAACTGATTTGCTCATTTTGAAGTGAGCTCTCAGCTCCAGCTCCACCCCATGCTTTCCCCTATTGCAGGAAGCAGAATCTGCATACGTCAAGTCTTTTCCCAAACTTTCACTTTCAGCTGTCTCTCAAAGAATATTTGGCATTCACAGGAGGCAGTAGGAGAACACTGGGAAAAAACTGGAAATTAGGAGATTTCTTCTCTTCTGGAGTAGCTCTGATAAACATGGTGGCATCAGTGGCATGTGAGCAAGACTGAGCCCTGGACATCTGCTCCAGGCCAGCATGGTTCAGACAGTAGATGTAATATGGTACCCCAACAGCCTCAGCTGGACAGTTTCACTAGGCTGCAACAGGGACAGCAGCTGATGACTTTGGGATCCTGGATCCCTGTAGCATCAGCAAGACGCCCCAACTCCCTGCTTCTGTAAAAGCAGCTGCAGTGGGGTTCGGCATCAGAGGCACAATGACTGTGGACTCTAGTGCCAGTATCTG